AATATTTGAGGCGTGGATTTCGGTAAATGAATCCAAACCAAAAAATTATGCTGAATGTTTTGTCATCGAAAAGTCTCAAAAATCACTCCTAAGTAGAAGAACGGCGGAGGACCTTAAAGTCTTGAAATTAGGCCTTGAGGTTCAAAACATTGAGATTAAAAATGAAGCCTTTCCGAAGTTCCCGAATGTTGAAGTAAAATTATCAACCGACAGTCGTATCCCCCCGAGAAAAATTGCGTACTTGAGAATCCCTGTCGCAATGGAAGAGAAGGTAGATGAAAAGATATTGCAAATGTTGCGCAGTGATGTGATAGAACCAGTTGTGGGACCTCCGGAATGGATATCGCCCTTGGTTGTGGTCCCGAAAGGAAAGGATGATATCAGGTTGTGTATCAACATGAAGTATCCCAATGAAGCGATACAGCGTGAACACTATCCGCTTCCGATGATCGATACTTTCCTAAATAAACTCCGAGGATCAACTGTCTTTTCGAAACTTGACATCACATCTGCATTCCACCATATTGAGTTGCACCCAGAATCTCGCGGAATCACTACCTTTATGACAAGCAGAGGATTAATGAGATTTAAACGATTGATGTTCGGCATCAATTGTGCGCCGGAGATTTTCCAGCGAGTGATGTCAGAGATGTTAGCTGGCATTGAAGGTGTCATAGTTTATATCGATGATGTAGTCGTATCGGGACGAACTAAGGAAGAGCATGACGGACGGCTTCAGGAGGTGTTGAGCGTTCTGAAAGAGAATAATGCAATGTTAAATGAAGCTAAATGTTTGATTGGAGTAGCCGAGCTTGAGATCTTGGGATTTAAAGTAAGCGCAGCTGGAATCAGCCCGTCGGACGAGAAGATCTCCGCTATCCAAAATTTCCGAAAACCGGAAACTAAGGAAGAAGTTCGTAGTTTTCTCGGGCTAATCAACTTTGTCGGCCAATTTATCCCGCATTTGTCGACACGAACTGAGGCGTTGCGTCAATTTATCAGAGGTGACGTTGACATCTTTGGCGAGGATCAGCAGAAGGCTTTTGACGATCTGAGAAATGAGTTATCGAACACGGTCAGCAGATTAGGATTTTTCGATCCGAAGGATCAGACGGAGCTGTACGTAGATGCCTCCCCGGTGGGTCTAGGGGCAGTTCTCACCCAGCGGAGTAATGGAAAGGCACCGAGAATCATAAGTTTTGCTTCAAAAGGTTTAACCAAAACGGAGAGAGTGTACCCACAAACGCAGCGCGAAGCGTTAGCCGTTGTGTGGGCTGTCGAAAAATTCTATCCATATTTGTTTGGTACCCGTTTTACAATATTTACTGACCACAAAACATTGGAATACATCTTTGAAGGAAAGCATCAGCAAGGCAAGCGTGCTTGTTCAAGGGCTGAAGGATGGGCGTTGCGTCTCCAGCCGTACGATTTTTGTGTGAAGCACATTCCAGGATCTACCAACATTTCAGACATCCTTTCGAGATTATGCGAACAATCAGAGCTACCCTTCGACGAAAGCTCTGAGCATTATCTGTGTGCACTAGGAGAGGGTTCAACAGCCATCGGTTTGCAGGAAATTAGAAGCGAAACGAGTCGGGATGAGGTCCTGTGTGCAGTAATAAAGGCAATCCATAGCCATGACTGGCCATCGGATCTTTTCCGCTACCAAGCTTTTTCAAAAGAATTGGGTATCATTGATGGCATCGTAGTGAGAGACGATAGGATTGTCCTTCCGTCAAACCTACGGAGGAAAGCATTGGCAATAGCTCATCGTGGACACCCAGGAGTAGTCACCATGCGGCGGATTCTTAGGGAAAAAGTGTGGTGGCCGTACATGGACCGAGATGTCGCGGACTACATTCAAGAGTGTGCTGGATGTGCAGCAGTTAGCTCACAAGGCCCACCGGAACCCATGTTGCGAAAGGAAATGCCAGATCGAGCATGGCAAGAAATTGCAATTGATTTCTTCACGGCCAAAGAGTGTGCAACGTTCCTTGTAACCGTTGACTACTACAGCCGCTTCCTTAAGGTTATTGAGATGAAGGGAACTAACGCAGTTAAGACAATCGATGTCCTTGAAGCCATTTTCCTAGAGCAGACATACCCGGAGACAATTCGAAGCGATAATGGGCCACCTTTTTCCAGCGAAGAGTTCTCTAATTACTGCGCAAGGAAAAATATCCGGCTAATACGTACGATCCCATATTGGCCACAAATGAATGGCCTAGTGGAAAGGTAGAATCAAGGCATTTTGCGAACCTTGCGCATTGCTAAAGCAATTAATGCAGATTGGCGCAAAGCGATCCGGGACTATGTATATGCATACAACACAACACCTCATTCGGTAACGGGTAAAGCACCAATGGAACTGATGACCGGTAGACCGGTTAAAGATCTTCTTCCATCTCTGAGAACCGAGCCATATTGGAGTCGGGATGAAGAAGCTCGGGATAATGACGCGATCAAGAAGATGAAGGGAAAGCTTTACGCGGACCATCGAAGACACGCAAAACCGTCAGAGATCGACGTTGGAGATGATGTTATGTTGAAAAATTATGAAACCGGAAAACTCGAATCTAAGTTCAAACTAGACAAGTTTACGGTGGTCAAAAAGAGTGGAAATGATGCGATTGTCACAAACAAAGAAGGAGTTTTGTACCGCCGCCCTGTTTCTCATCTAAAAAAGTGGCCATCGGTGATTGACACTGAACTCGATCAGTCCACTTCAAAAAAATTCCAGTCTAGTGACCATTCGAATACACCAAAGATGGGATCACCTGTAACGATGAGCGATTCGACCACGGGAACAAAGCACACTGAGGATCCTCCTGAAGTGTCACCAGCGTTGAAGATAAACTCGACACCGAACAAGCGATTGCACGATGAAGTTGAAGAACGTGACATTTTAAGCCGTCCAAAGCGCGAGAAGAAGTTGCCGGCACGATATATTAATAATACAGCATAAACAAGCAGTAGAGGAGGAAGCTACGATTATTTTTTTTATTTTTTTTTTTGTTAGAGTAGAAAAGGGATGTAGAGTTGATAAACGTAAATATGGCAACCATTCTCCACCCCCGGAAGAGACCTATGTATATCGAGCGGAAGAATCAAGGAGAGTGAGAGAGAACGGACGACGACAAACGAGCGCCTCGGTGTAAGGGAGATTTATTGAGGCAGAAGCCGATGAACGATTGTTGCGACTGGTAGTGAATAAAACGGTCTGTTAAAGTTAAAGTGGTTAAACGAGTTTTATTGGCGAGTTCCGAAAGTGTTCCTTCTGGTGAATTCGATTGTTGCCTCCTGGAGGGACTCTACAGTCAGGAGAAATGTAGTTTCTACTGCTGGCAAATAAAGCGTCGTTGATGATTATCTCGAATACTTTCGAGCAGGCACAAAGTGAAGTAATTCCTCGGTAATTCTCCACATTTTGTTTGTCTCCTTTCTTCAAAATCGGGAACATGAACGAAGATTTCCAATGAGAGGGAAATACACCTTGTTGTAACGAAATATTGACCAGCTTTGAAAGCGGAGAGGAAAGCTCTGTTGAGCAACTTTTGAGTATAGACGATGGAATGCCGTCAGGCCCAACAGCGTTCGAGAATTTCAGCTTCTGGATGGCAGAGTCGACGAGGTCCAATGTGACCGTGAAAATATCAAAACTGAACGCGTCACTGGGAGTATCTCTGATCCCTTCAGCAACTTGGCTTAACGATGCCGTTGAATCGTTGAAAACACTCTTGAAATGCTCAGCCATTACATTTCTCTAAAGAAGTGTTAGCCCATCCTCTTTCCTTTTTGTCTTCACAAACGTCCAGAATAGTTTAGGATTACGCCGGAGATTGGTCTGCATACGTCTTGAGTACTTCTTGTTTAGAAAACGGTTGTACATTCGGTAGCAATTACTTTCAACGAAAATAATCGCTTGGTGAATGGATTAGGGGACTGGCTGTATTTTCGAAGAGCCTTCGATCTCACACGCTTCAAGTGTTGTAATCGAGCATTGGAACATTCAGGTTTTGGAGCAGGTCTCCTCAGAGGCACACAATCCTTTATTAATCGGCTAACAACTTCGTCGAAATAGTTAACGGCTTCATCAATGGACGAACACAAGTCAAGTATTGGTCTATTGACATCTTCAAATATAAGCGGCGCCGATGGTGTAGTGGTTAGCGTGATTACTTCTCACCCCAGCAGGCCTGGGTTCAATCCCAGTCGGCGCCGCCGGGATGTTCTGAGGCATAACATTTCTCCCCGGTTCATGAGTTGATGGGAAGATAGGTAGGGTCCAGGTATGGGAGCTGCCTCCCTGGCGTCGGTAGCATTGGTGCTCAGCACGGAAAACAAGATCGACGGAAAACAAATCAAGGAAAAAAAAATCTTCAAATATCGATTACACACGTTTCTTTTTTTAACCTCCATTTGACTTCCGTTTGTCGAAATAAATCTTGAATCATAACGATTGAGATTGTGAGGAGGTCAATCAATCCGATTCCGCATTCTGCAATTTAATTTAGGATTTAATAAATAAGGATTAAATTATTAATATTAAACTCACGCTTAGAAAACTTCAAGAAGACGATCTAGGGATTGTCCACATATTTGCTATTGGCGCCATATTGAACTTATGAATAAGCAAAGAGCACTAAAAAGAAATCGCAGTCGTAAAACCTACGTGAATTTCACTTAACTTTCACCAGTATAACACTTAACTCGACCAGTCAATCCAGTTGAATTCATTACCATGCAATTGAATATTAAGTGTAGCAAGTAATTCGTACTGTATTACTGTCTTTAGGAAGTTACCTGAATTTTCAGGTGAAATTTACGTTTCTCGTTGGTTATACACGAACTGACAGTTCGTTTGGCTACATTATACTTTTCCTCCGCTTATCTATGGAATCTATAGTATCTATAAATAGTAGTTAGTAGCTGAACCCTCACTTGCTTACGATTAATGCCGCTTCAACTTTCGGATTGAAATAAACAACGAAACTCATCTGTTTTTATATCACTTTATTCATGTTATATTCATTATGTATATCTATTTTAAATAGTTGTCTGTAATCTTCCTCCAATTGCCCATCAGTATTTTGTAATAAAATTATTCCTTCCGACTATGTTTTGTGTATTGAAAAACAATCAAAACAAGGATACTACTACCTTTCACTCATTTCATTTTTTTTTGTATTAATTTTCTTTTGGATGATCAACTGTTACTAGCGTGTATAATAGCTACGATTTGTTTTGTTTTCTAATTTTTGCAATTGCACGTGATCCTGTTTACTGTTTTTTTTTTGTTTTTGTTTTCTGACCTAGGTATTACTTTCAATGATATCAACTGTCCTGCTCATTTACGGTAGCATTAAAGGTTAAAATTGTTACAATTGTATGGTTTCAGCGCAAAGCTCGTCCAATTGTTATCTAATCCAGTTCACAAAACATTAACTTTACACCACTGTTTATTACTGTTTGCTGTTAGCGTTTGTTTAAGACATAGATCGTTTATTTCTCTGCAGCTGTATGTTTGTTCTTGTTCTGTTTCTTGAATTATTAGCTAGTTTCTATGTAGGTAGCGAATAATATTTCTCAATAATTAATAATTTAATCATAAGCATCAGATGCAGGCAAAGTTAAGTCCGTGTATCGATTTTTGTTGTTGTTGCCTTATTGATGAAAAATCGAACCGAAATTATGGGTAATTTATTTTCAGGTTTAATACGGGACCAACAATGTTTCTAATCTTGTAATCGACTACTCTACTAACCAGGGGGACATCAACCAATCAGGTGGTGGACAGCGGAGTAAAAGAAACTCAGCGAAAGCGGAATCAATTTCAAGAGTCTATATTATTTGCTGCTTTGATGCTTATTTAAAAAGTATGTACTTAACAACTACTATACATCATCATCCGATAAAGTGTTTTCTTGCTTATTGGATTCTAATCTTTTCCTACGAATGTGAAAAGAACCAAGAAAAAAAATGTACTGTATAACATAAGATTACTTTCTTTTCATTTTTTTTTCGACGCGATTAGAATTCGGAGCCTTGGGAGATCTGCGCAAGTCAGAATTAGGTTTATATTAGTTTTTGTTTGTTATAAATTTTGGACTTTCAAAATTTTCAAGTGTGTGTTTTTTTTTTGTTCGTATGAAATCAAGAATAATGTGTTTGATTTAGTTTATAAACGTCGATATCATCTACTACTGTTGGATACTGTTGTTATTTCTGTTGTTTATTGTTTTGCTGTGGAGTGTGTTTACAAATAACTTTCTCTGCCTTACGCACACGTACACGTGTTGCTGCTGCTGTTGTTATTTTGCAGCACGTCCGTCTCGTTAGTGTGTGTTTGTTTTTATTGAAATTTATCTATTACCTTGCTGCGGGTAGGCGGTTATTAGCACGAGCAGTTGTCACCGTTTCGAGTCCGGTTGTTGCGATCTGCGTTCAACTTGATCTGATCGGGGAATTCGTTGTAGAGTTCGACCTGCAAAGAAGAAAGGAAAACGAATTACGTAACGAAGTAGAGCTTTGATAACATTAATCTGAACCTGAACAGTGTCTGTTTGAACAGAGCAAGCAATTACTACGAGGGATTGAAAAACAATATCTTCAAGTGCAAAAATAATCGGCGTAACCGGAGAATAAAACCTAGTTTAGATGATTCAATTAATCATATGGTCGAGGTGCATGAAGAATATTGTGTCTAACAAAACAGGTGGCATCAGACGACTTGGAATCCTATCGGCGTCATCTTAACAACCAGAGGATTCAACGCCTGCACTGCCTATAATCCCATATCAGTCCCATTTGAAAAAAGTAGGCATTGAGAAAATGACAGTGGAAGTTATGAAGTGCAATTGCCATGTAAATATTTTGAAAATCATAGTAAATTTATTGATTTTTTTTTTCAAGTTCAAATCAGTTTCAATAGGGCTTGCATCAAGGGGTACGTACCTGAGTACTGCGAACTCAGCCGATTTTATTTTTCAAGTGAGCTAGAAAACATCTTGAAAATCTTCCGAAGTTTCAAATTGTTTTGCTGAAACAGCTCACGAAATTGTATATAGGTACATGCTGTCAAATGAACTCTTGGCTCATCCTCCTCTGCTCCAGAAATAACGTATACATGGTGATGGGAGTGCTATGTGCTTTACCTATAGGCACAGAGAACAGACATGGAGGCTCGAGCAAAATTTCTCTAAAAACTTGTGTAAAGATTCCTATTTGACTTAAGCGCCTCTAACGGCGACTTCCCCACTTAAAAACCCTCTTTGACAACATGATGGCGCTGGCGTTGCACAAATTACACTAGATACTAAGTGCTAGTAGCGCCAAGTGGCAATTTTCAACAGAAAATTTATCGATACTAGTGGCAAATTGGTCGAAAGTGGAAAATTTATAGAGAAAATCAGGAGATGCTAACACCACGTAACGGCGACGTTCCCACTTATTTTACACAAGTTTCTGACCGAGCTTAAACGTCTGTTCTCTGTGCTATAGGTGAGGCAGTGCCTCTTACGAATGTATCAGTAAGCGGGGCAAACTTTATGGGTGGTAGTGTGGTCCCGTGTACCCGAAGCGTCAGGCACCAGAGACAATAAAGTCACAGAGAACAGACGTTGAGGCTCGAACAATATTTCTCTAAAAACTTGTGTAAAGATTCCTATTCAACTTAAGCGCTACTAACGGCGACTTCCTCACTTAAAAACTCTCTTTGACATCTTGAAGGCGCTGGCGTTGCACAAATTACACTAGACACTAAGTGCTGGTAGCGCCAAGTGGCAATTTTCAACAGAAAATGTATCGATACTAGCGCCAAATTGGTCGAAAGTGGAAAATTTATAGAGAAAATCAGGAGATAGGGGAATTTACGTATTCTCGGTAACCTAAGCAGCGACCTTCTTTCTATAGCCTTTTTCTCTATGGAACGCACACATATGCAGTATTGGTTTGTTTACAAACATTTGCTGCCAGCTGCTCTAACAATTTCAGTCGAAAGAATTGTCAAACACTGTTTTGAAACGCTTTTACAAAGCTCCAATCTTCTCTAGTGAGAGCGAGTATTGTCGGCAATCAGTTTTCTTCGGCAACCGTTCCATTTGAACTGCATGTAAATCTGCTGTTCTATTATCGGCAACTCGAAATCAGCTACAATTTGTAGTGCGTGTGTTTCATTTCAAGAAAACCCTGCTAGATTGCTTTTTCTCAGTGGGAAAAATATAGTCAAATTGAAGCTGAAAGCATAAAGAATCGTTTGCATGCATTCAGCGAAGTGTTTTCGTAAGAAAATCCAGTGAAAATAGTGTTTCAATTTGGGTTGCCGAAAATAGTCTGTCATGCCGAAGCCGTCATTTCCCCTACTAACACCACGTAACGGCGACGTTCCCACTTATTTTACACAAGTTTCTGACCGAACTTGAACGTCTGTTCTCTGTGATAAAGTTTCGACGTCACAATCACGATTTTTGTTCGGAGAGTTGGTTCTTGTGTCGTCACCACTTTTCATCTCCGAAAATGCTTAGTAGTATCACAGAGAACAGACATGGAGGCTCGAACAAAATTTCTCTAAAAACTTGTGTAAAGATTCCTATTCGACTTAAGCGCCACTAACGGCGACTTCCCCACTTAAAAACCCTCTTTGACAACATGATGGCGCTGGCGTTGCACAAATTACACTAGACACTAAGTGCTAGTAGCGCCAAGTGGCAATTTTCAACAGAAAATTTGTCGATACTAGCGCCAAATTGGTCGAAAGTGGAAAATTTAGAGAGAAAATCAGGAGATGCTAACACCACGTAACGGCAACGTTCCCACTTATTTTACACAAGTTTCTGACCGAGCTTCAACGTCTGTTCTCTGTGGTAGTATTGCTCTCAAACACAAACAAGCACTATCATGTGCCACTCCTGTATGTATATCTCATTGATGGGAGTGCACCTGCCCACAAAGCTCACATTACTCTTATAAAGTTTGATTACATTCTTGTTTCAGCAACCCAGTTTTGGCATTATTAATATCAAATAAAAACACTTTTTCGAGCATCACGCTCGATGATTTACATTATCCGCCTACTAAGGTTGATGTTTCGATAGTTTCATAATTATAATTCTTAATTTGTTTTCAGTAGGTGGCAACACTTTTACTTGTGGTTCAAACAGTAACTACCTACGTGACTTCTGAGCTCTTTTGAATGTTTGGCTCGAGTTTGACAGTTTGACTCGGCTCCCAGATGACAAGCATTTTGAGTTAGTTCGCAGTACTCAGGTACGTACGATTGTTTCGAAAATACCCATCCCGGAAAGCCGTTTTTTTGGCACCTTGAATGTTTTGGTTTTAAATCGCTAGGATAAATTGGATTGAGGATAACGCGGTAAGCGGCGGGTGTGCGAAATGTTGGTGTTTTGCGTTCATAGGATAATAAAAGCCCTATGTTTTAGGGTACATATTATAATGCCCTCAAAGGTAGACCAAAAACCTAACCTTTAGTGATGTGAAAAGCAACGGTCTATCAGCGGCCGGAACCGGTGGGGAACATTGTTGAAGACCGACTCTATAGGATGATAAATCGAGGGGGACGACTCTATCTAAAGGGTGATACGGTCAAAATTTGGTCAATATCAACTTGACGTATTTCTTTCAATTTTGCATTTAAAAAACCTGAACACCCCTCATTTTGAAGGTGTGTGTGTGTAGAATGTTGCTCCTATTTTGATTTTGGAATTCACTCTTCAGTTGTCAAAATGCCGTCCAAGCAAGAAGAGCAGCGTATCAAAATTTTGCTCGCGCATCGCGAAAATCCGAGCTACTCGCACGCAAAGTTAGCAAAATCGCTAAAAGTTGCCAAATCTACCGTTACAAATGTAATTAAAGTGTTTGGGGAACGTTTGTCGACAGCCAGGAAGTCTGGATCGGGGGGAAATCGAAAACCGGAAGCCGCTGAGACGACAAAGAGAGTTGCTGGTAGTTTCAAGCGAAACCCTAACCTCTCTCTCCGAGATGCCGCAAATAAGCTGGGTGTATCGTCTACAACCGTGCATCGAGCCAAAAAACGAGCCGGACTATCGACTTACAAGAAGGTAGTGACTCCAAATCGCGATGATAAACAAAATACGACGGCCAAAGCGCGATCCCGGAGGCTGTACACGACGATGCTGACGAAGTTTGACGGCGTGGTAATGGACGACGAAACCTACGTCAAAGCCGACTACAAGCAGCTTCCGGGACAGGAGTTTTATACGGCAAAAGGAAGGGGAAAGGTAGCAGATGTTTTCAAGCACATGAAACTGTCAAAGTTCGCAAAGAAATATCTGGTTTGGCAAGCCATCTGTACCTGTGGCTTGAAAAGCAGCATTTTCATAGCTTCCGGGACTGTCAACCAAGAAATTTACGTGAAAGAGTGTTTGAATAAACGTCTGCTGCCTTTCCTGAAGAAACACGGTTGTTCCGTACTGTTTTGGCCGGATTTGGCATCTTGCCATTACGGTAAAAAGGCCATGGAGTGGTACGCCGCCAACAACGTGCAGGTGGTTCCCAAGGACAAGAACCCTCCCAACACGCCAGAGCTCCGCCCAATTGAGAAATACTGGGCTATTGTCAAGCGGAACCTAAAGAAGACCAAAAAACTGCTAAGGGCGAGCAGCAGTTCAAGGCAAACTGGCTTTCTGCGGCGAAGAAGGTGGACAAGGTGGCTGTACAAAATCTGATGGCAGGGGTCAAGCGTAAGGCCCGGCAATTCGGATTTGGAAAAGCGGAAGCCTAACTGAATATTTTTCCTGAATTTTATACTAATTGAACTTGAAAAAGAAATTTAATTTGATTTTTTAAATAAACGATTTCACCAATTTACACACGTTTTCCCTTGACCAAATTTTGACCGTATCACCCTTTACGATGCAGAAAAAAATGTGTTATGCTGTGGCTAGCTGCGCACACGCTGAGTAGATAGAAAGAAGATTGTTGACGATTCTGAAGATTTCCTGCAAGAAGATGATGCGCGATGCAAGTAGATGCGACAAATGAAAGAAGATTTTTCAAAGATCGAATCGCTAGTGTGAGTTTTGTTGAGCATCTAAACTTGAGATTTAGATGTGTCGCCCCCTCGTGATAAATAGACTTCTTCAGTTTGTTTTGTGTGAGTTGCAGCATTATTTGAATTAAGGGTACTAATGGGGTCTGATTAACTGCCTCTTTCTCTTGAGCTCACTCTAGAACCTACTTTTCGTATTCAGATCTATGCTGGTCTGAGTTCCTCTGGTATATTCAATTAGAAGATGTTCCTGAATATACAGTCAAACAGCACGTAATTTTGTGAACAACTTCAATGACAGTTGTCCATCAGTGCTCCTATTTTAGTTAAAACAATCCAATGCCTACGAGATTGTGCCGAAGGTGTACCAATGGATGTGCCCAAGCAGTGCCGAATCTAATTTCGGCACAATGTGCTGAGTGACTTAAAATTTGACTTTTGAGCGGCGCCGTGTTTAC